AGATATTAAAACATATTTTCAAATAGAAGTCTGCATATTCCTCCCGTGGCAGGGTTCCGGGACAAATAGAAGAAAGGCGTCAAAATAACAGGTTGATAAACGTGCGGACCAACAGGTCTTCAAATAGAAGAAATAGTATTTTTGGCACAAAATGCACATGAACCCGCCTGCTCTTTTTTCCTCGCTCTCTCAAAAAACACCCGCTGTCATGTTCCTCCTTCCCCTTCCCCTTCCCCTTCCCACCTTTCCTTCCTTCTACCTTCTCTTTACCTTTACCTTCCTTTCCTGTACCTCCTTCCCCGTCCTGCCTTCCCCCTTCCCCCTTCCCCACCCTTTCTTCTTTCCCTTCCCTTCTCTTCCTCTTCTTTGCAGTTTTTGCGTCTTCTATTTGAAGTGGCTCGGGGTTTCGTCAACCAACGTTGTGCCCAAAGTTGTGCCCGGAATTGTTTGTTCCACCTGGCCCTCTTCTATTTGAAACCCTCCCGGCGGCAAATTTCCAAGCCCTTCAAATAGAAGATTGGCACAAGCAATTTCTTCTATCATCAAACCGCGTACTATAATAGCGATGGCCTCCAACCTAGTAGCGCTGACCTCCAACCTAATAGCCATGCCCTCCAACCTCCAACCTAATAGCAATGGCCTCCAACCTACTAGCGATGGCCCCCAACCTAGAAGTGATGGCCTCCAACCTAGGAGCCATGACCTCCAACCTGATAGGGATGGCATCCAACATAGTAGCGATGACCTCCAACCTAAAAGCTCTGGCCTCCAACCTAAGAATGCGAAAAGCCGATGAATAGAGGAAAAGAAGTGTTCTTTTCGCTTTGATGCACCAAAAATGACCCTTAAAGGGGGTCGGTCTTGTTAAGAATGCCCGAACACCTTTCATTCCTCTCTTGTTTTGGCTCCTCTGGAGAGGGAAAGGCCTCAGCGGCGCCCTCCACCATTCGAAGTGTGTTCTTTACCGGCGCCTCCTCATCCACCTCTGCAGAGTAAAACATATGTAGAATTGTAGAACAATCTGATAGACATATATCCACAGGTTCAGTCTAAATAGGGTAGCGGTAAGCAGCATGCGAGCGCGCTGCTACTAAAATGCACAAGGCTTGTGAACAACGGGCCTCAAACCAACCCTTGGGCGCCAGAGTGCAGGTCGAAGTAATTCGAGCAATCTGCGCGCGAAGCAGCTGTTCCTCTCCACCTCTAAACAACTTCCAGCGGTTGTCGTCTGAAGCCATCCGAAATGCTCAAAAAACCGAAATGCTCAACATTGCCTGGAAACCATGGGGTAGAAATGACCTCCGAGGAAAGGTTGCCACTCATCATGTGCTTGATGTTGCGAGCCTCAGTGAGAGAAACCAAGCAATTGCAGTTCTTCTGATCCTAGAAAATCTAAAAACAGCTCAGAGCAAACCCTACAACCTCTAGGCAACCCTGCAGCTCTCACGTGGCTGGCGCGAGCATGAGGTAGCCTCACCCATGGATCAAAGCCACCTTTCGTCACCCAGTAGATGCAACGATTTGCTCCTTCAAACGAAGCGAGAGCGTAGAAGCACAACACTGAAATGCACTTAAAGCAACTACACAACTCATCTACGAAGAGCTGCAAGACGTCCACTCAGTCAGGCCGCAGGTCTCCTTGCCCTCTGGGTTCCACATCGTCATCCGGACTGCCAGGCAAAGCCACAGCTTGCTCTGCTGCGTTTAAGGTGCCCTCGGCCACATAGTAGTCACCTCCTGTGCCCAGCACCTTCACAAATTCCAGTTCAAGCACAGTACTAGTAGTAGTGAGTATTTTGAGGATCGATTGAAAAAAAAAAACATACATTCCAGAGCCTTTCCCCACAACCTCAAAGACTCCAGGCCAGAGTCTGCCGCGAGCTTCCGGAGTGACATGGACAGGTGATAGGACCTGAAAGTGGTATCGGAGGAGTCCGTTTGTCGAGGCAAAAGGCGCTCACACACACAGACTCTTGGCTTACGAGTGCCCCAAAAAGCATTCAGCAAAGCAAGTGCTTTGAGAATACTGACTCCTGCTTGCCAAAGCCAACGCCAGCCCATTCAAAGATGGCAGCATCCTTGCCATTTGCACTCATGTGCCCAAGGTTGGTTCATATGATACATTGATATACATTGACCGTGAAAACGAAGACGCGGTCATCGCGGTCAAGAGTTGGGTTGTATGTATTTCCCTCATCAAAGGACTTAGGACATCAGAGGCCATGGGGGCCAATGTTTCCTCTCCTCAAGATAGTTCTGCACCACACCCAGGACTTTTGGTGCCGCAGTAGGGTCACTTGGTGGCCTTGAGCAAGTCGAATGGAAAGAGAACCATCAACATCAACATCATTCAAAGTAAATACAGTAGGGAAATCAAAAAGGTCTCAAGGGCCAAAAAAAAGGAATGAAATTACACCAGCATCAACCCCAAACAACATTTGTTCAGGCGGTTTGAATTCAACAGCCGTGGCATACACAAGCAGAAACATGACCTTACAATTCCAAAAGCTAAACTTGGTCTTTTCAAAAGCACGCCGTTGGACCACTTTCGCAAGCGCATCTGGGCAGTTCGACAAATGCAAGTGGGAAAGCATATGTCATATGCACCTGCCTTTTCGTGCATGTCAAAGTGCACACCAGTAGAGATAGGAAGGACAGATGGGGAGACAAAAGGAAACCGTGCTGCGACAGCTTGCCGGTGAGAGACCAAGGGAGACAAAGCAAACACGTCCCAGCCCAGCACCCTCTGGCATGTACTTCTGACATATGTTTTCGCACTGCACTAGTTCGTGCTCTGACATGTGTTGCGGCACAAGGCCCGACTTCGGCTCATGTGTTCTGTCATGTATTTTGACATTCGGACATTCGTTCTTTCTGGACTTGGCATTCTACATGGCACGGAAACCACAATTTTAACGCATATGTTCTGGCTCTCTACCTGGCATATCTTCTGAGGTCCTTTCCGGCATTCTATCTCGCATTGTTTCCGGCATGTTTTTTTGCGTCTAGTTCCTTTCCGGCATTGGATGTGGTGGCATATCTTCCGAATATATCTCTGGCACATCTCCTGCAATCTGCCTGGGATGTCCCGGCATTCTATCTAACGTACGAATATTTTCTGGCATGTATTCAAAAATTCTCTCTAAACTAGAAACCCTGTAGTGCGTGGGCCCGCACGTGCACAGACTGAGCTGCAACTGCCTAAAGTGCGTGGGGCCGTGCGTGCCCAGCTTAAGCTGGCACTTGCTGTGACATGAGGATGAGAGTAGGGCAAAAAATCGGCAAAAGGATGAGGAGCAGCACCTTTCGGCTCCATACCCTTACGAAAAAAGGTTTCAAAAAAACAGGCGCTGTGAAACTCGTAGAAGCGCGCCGGCAAATGGCACAGGTTCACAGGGCCGCCCTCAGGTTTGGTTCAAAAGGGGCGCAGTCTGCAGCTATTCGCGAGACAGCAACGAACTGCCCCCTAGACTCTCGCACCTCACAGTGTCATCATCATCTTCATCACCATCAACATCTCTTTGGCACACGCAGTCGAGACTGAAAGTATGTATGGCCAACGCCCTAGCCCGACCAATTTTCGTTAAAAGAAGACCTTAGAGTCCAGGTAAATGCAACGGTGTCTCACATGCACATGTGCCAAGGTGAGTAATGGATGCCAAGGCCAATTGTTATTCTAGCTATCAATGGGGTGAAGTGGGAAGTGAAAGTTAAAATGAGGGCACACTGGCATCATAGGCCCCAGTATCACCAGAAAATCAAGAGTGTCTTCGTTGGTGGCAGACTTTCGTTCCTGCTGCCACCCCCTGCTGGAAAATTCAAGACACTTCTGAAGACCTATGATTCCAAGGTGCGCACACAGAGACTAAGGAATACGGGCAAGACAAAAGAGTGAAAAGAATCGTTAGCTCCTGAGCTCCCGCCTCAGCAGCTGCATGAAGCTCTGGGCACACTTTTTGCTTTCATCCTCCGCAGCCTTTTCGGCCACACTCAGCTCAGGCTCCTGGAGATGGAGAAATCACGAAACAACAAGAACATGAGAAACTCCGCTGTCTAGCACCTCTGGAGCAGGAGCACCGCGGAAAGCTGACTCCTGACGCGATCAGATTGCTCAAACACCTTCCAAAAGGCACCCGCCAATAGCTGATCAAAAACAATGATAGAAAATTAATCTACTGGATGGCCTCTGATCAAAACGATGGTAGAAAATGCATGATCGGAAACATCGGAACATCCACCGATTTGGGCCTTGAGACGTCGAGACAGCGCTTCCACCTGCTCCAAGGCATCCTTGGGCTTTTCTTCCGCCAAGGTGCGAGCTAACTGGACCTCAGATCCATCGAAGCCTTGTGATCGTAGAAGCTGGTAGCAGCTGAGCACAAGTTGAAACTGAAAAACAAAATGCCAAAGAACATCTCGAGTCTCGAGGATCCAAATGACTGCAGGTTTGTCCCAGGATCCTGGATCCAAATGAGCCACCAAATGTCACATGCTGACCTCGCTTGCTGTTTGCTGAGCTGCTAAGTGGTTGTACAGCGAGCCATTGCCAGCATCCACCCTGAGCAGCGCGTGGACTCCTCAGGCATTCTGGAGTTCTCACTGAGAAGGTCACCCTCACCACTTCTGACGTCTCCAAGTCACGTTCGAGCGCAATATCACAGGTGCCCATCTCGGGCACTCCAAGGTATGTTACACTGTCGCCAGGTCAGTCTTGAGCCGAAACAGTGAGCAACAGTTGCCGCACTCACCTATCTCCAGACATATTGGGTTCAGTATGTTTGCTCTCCTCATGGTAATATTATGTTCATCAATGATGTCCTTTTGATACTTATGGGAACAATAGAGGGGTCATATACATATACCTACTGGCTGTGCACTACTTGGGAGTATCCCCTCTAATACAAAGCATTATATATTCCATCAACCACCAGTAAAAGGCCATCTATAAATGTTAGTTGTGCTATGTTGTGCTCATGTAAATCTGAACAAGGTTGGAATGCCTTCATCTGATCAGCATCCTGCGTGCAAGAGCCAAGATTAACCTAAGCAAATGTAAACAACCAGAAGCTTTGCAAGGTCAAAATGTTCAGAGAAAAGCATTGAAAAGCGGTGGCTTCAGAGTAGATGGCACAAACCCAAAGATGTCCTTTATATGGGGTCCATAGAACCAATTTTTTGGAGACTGTGCCATCTACTGTGAAACCACTGTAAATGATAAAACCTCAGCTCTCCTGGTGCTCTGCTTCCAGCAACAACGGTGCTCCAAAAAGGAGCTCGCCACTCAATCGACCCGGAGGCACCTCCATCCGACTATCTTGTACAAACAGTTTATCACAAGATGTCAAAGCTGTACGAAAAACCTTTTCAGCCCGACCTCTGACAGAATCTGGATGCAGGGTGTTCCTCCAAGACCCGAGTCCAAATGTCTCTTCAGGTTCTTTAACCGCGGTTCTTTTTCCGGACAAGACTTTTGTTCCACTCCTTGTGGCGCCCGACGCCGCTGTAAGAGTACTGCTGGACGTGCACGCAAAGCCAGGGATGCGCCTTTGGGTAGTTGCAGTTGCAAAGGCCAGCTGGAACACAACGGTTCCAAGACCTGACTCAGTAGATAGACAAATGACGCTGAAAATTAAAAAGGCCTGACTAGACACATCTAGACTAACACTAGAAACGACGAGTGACTAATTAGTGACACCAATTCTTCAACATGTTTCATTCATTTCTTTTCCATGTCGCTGCCATTTCTCTTCCACTTCTTGGTACTTGTACCACAAGTGCCACACGGTTGGTACTGGTACTTGTACCACAAGTGCCACACGGTGGTCTGAACACGCCCTGCCCATATTTTTGGTGAACCCTCAAAAATTCGCTTGATCCAGCCGCAGTTCCGTCCGGCCTTGCCCACCACAGCCGCATCCTCTAGCGAAAGCCGTTCAAGCACAACCTTCCAGGGACAAAAACCACGAGAAAAAACTTTGAAGTTGGAGCCGACTGCCCTGCCTTAGAAGAGAGTTCCTGCTGCAAAAGTTTGACCTGGCACAACCGCACAGCCATGGGCCGTGCTATTGACCCAGCTTGTTGGAAACGACATTGCAGACGTGTCCTTTGTGATGCAGACCTGTAAAACTGTAATCAGGTTGCCAACCTACAGGTTCAATCATGGATTGAACTAACCTAGAGTTTGCAGTTTGCCAACCTACGGTTTCGGAACTATTACCCAGCTGTGGGTAGCTAACAGTGAGTGAAGGGACGCTCGGGCAGCATCCGTCTCCACCGATCGGGCACAACGGTTGAGCTCATGAAAATACATGACACTGAGCTGCAGTCAACAATTGCCCGCATTCACAGACACAACCAAATTGCTCTTGACTGCAGATCAGACCCCTGAAAATCTAAAATCCCACTTGCGTGCTTTCCCGCACCACTTGCATCTCGGCCGCTGTTCTGCGATCCTTTGTGCCCCCAACCCTGGGCTTGACCAAGTGGTCAAAGAGAGAAATTTGGTGCCCATCAGGCATTGTCTTGGCGTCGTCGATGTTAGTAGCATCCTCCCATACCGGGGCCGCCAGTCTTGTTGTAGATGGTGGTTGCTCACGCCGGCTCCTGAAGCCTTTCTGCAGGCTCTGGGTCTCGGCGTCCAGTGTTGAGTTCACGATCCTTGGTTGATCTCCAGTAGCAGAGATTTCCTTTTCATCTGCGCGGCTGCGTGCCTCGTTGATGATCTTGTTCAACCCTTGTACGCTGGGGCATCAAGGGCAAACTTCGCATAGCTCAGGTCATTGCCGCGCACGTCGTACTCAAAGGTGTAGCCCTTGCACTTGTCAAAAGTCAGCAGGTTGTTCCAGCGATTGGCGCTGAGGAGGCTGTAGATCTGTAGATCTTCTTCCAGGTGACTGTTGGGGGTGTCCAGAGCCTTGGTTCAAGCGCGCGGGACACATTGCTCGAGGAGAAAGAGAACTACTGCGCGAACATGAAGAGATTCCAAGATTACTGCGTCATGAGATGGGACGCGGATCCAGGCGCAGTTGGCTTCATGGCCGCGAATGAAGAGAGACAGGTGGATCAGGTGGATTGAACGACCTGACTGGATCTCATCATCACTTGCGAAAGTTGGCCCTCAGCCCAGACCAGTGCGTGAAGGAAATCCTCAAGTTGGCCACGTGTGTCTTGAAGCTCCTGTTGGCCTATGTTCACGACCTCTGCGGTCAGCGCCATGCGCGTGAGTCCAGATCAGCTCCGTCATTCAGAACGAACGGCTCATTGAGCGCTGAATCCGCATCGTGATCCGATATGCCGGAGGTTGGAGAGCGTGAGATGGAAGCCATACAGATTGACCGGAAGAGGTGGGCGATCAAGTACAGTGAAGTTGAAAAGAAAATGCCCACTATCAAGGCTACACTGAGTTCTCACTGAACCAGGAGGCGGACATGACCGACGTGACCAAACGCGTGAAGGCCTGGATGGTCCAGAAAGGAAGTGATGAGCTGACTGTCCGAACAGGAGTCTGAAGAAGTGGAGAAAGAGCCCAGGAAGGCGGGCCTCAGCAGAATCCGACCAGCCAGGAGATCCTTCACCCAGGACAAGCTGATGATCAACTCACCCTCAACCGTACGTTCCCGCCCGGTCTTGATCCTTCTCCTCCAACCTCTTCCTCGCACCCTTCTCCTTGACTGACTCCTGCTCCCGACAACTCCTTTGGTGGGCTGTCACACTCTCCTCCGCGGTGTGCCTGATGAAAGCCCGATCAACCCTGATCGGTTGAACCGCTCCACGCCTTGCAAGAAGATAACGATTGCTTTCTGCCGTGGATATGGTTCATTCTTGACGTCAAGGCGGCTCCTTGTCTCTTGGCCTCTGCAACGGCGTCGATTCCTCTGTTCACTCTTCTGCGGCGTCCTTTGCCAAGAGATTTGGAGATCTCAGGTTGGACAAAGGAATCGTCCGCGTTGCCGTCCCCAATCACCGTGGAGTTCCCTGCGTGGTCCAGCTAGCTGCCGAAACTGAGCTAGCGTTGCAATGGAACGGTTCACGTTTAGAGCACCAACGTCTTCCGAGTATTTCTTCTGCGTTGCGCTCTCCTCCTCCTCCTTCAACATCTCCTGGCTCTTCTCCACCGCTTGTGTCACGCATCCCTTCACGGTCTCCTGCGCGTCACCAGGGTGTTGTCCTTCAAGGCCAGGTCCTCCTTGAAGGGGCTGGGTCCCGTTGCCCATCATGGCACATGGTAGAAGTGGCGCCCGCCCTCTTGGTAGGTCCTGACTTTCTTCTCTGCAAGCATGTTGGCATGTTGCAGAGACACTGAATCGTCACGTGGCTGCGGCGGTGGACTCGTCGCAAATGCTGGAGTCATAGGCGAGGCGTAGTGGGCGCCGTCATTCTTTCCAGTGTCTGGTAGCCCTGCATTGGATGCTTGGGGGGGGTGATTGGCACCCTCTTCTCACACGCGATGCCCTTGGCATTCGGGATGGTTGATGCCACTTTCTAGGGTTCCAGCGAGCATGATTCTTGGCGCCACACTTCTCTCTGCGCCGCAGCTCCTGCTCCACTCGGTGAGTGCACTTCTCGCAGATCCAGCAACTCAGCCAGCGATGCCTTGGCGTTTTGTCGTAGATGACCCAGAGCGTCTTTTTGGCCAGGATTCGCCAGTGTCGCGCCAGCCGCTTCATCATCTCCATGGCTCCAGGCCGCAGGAAGCTTGTGGGGACTGGAGCCTCACCCCACTCACGGCATCATGCCTACAACAGTCACGCGCACAAACTGAAATTTTCGACCTTTCGTGCCGCCACTTGGGACCCGTTGGTCCTGCCTCGGCACGCAACGACTTCTCGAAGGCTCTGGGCAATGCGCTCTCCAGTTGTTCTTTGAGCTTGCTCAGCACTGCCTTGCTTCCCATCAACTCATCCAGCGGCACCTCGTCTACGGCTGCTCTGGCTGCTCCGGTGAGTATATCCTGATCATTCAGACTCCATGCTTTGCCTTTGGAGTCTTCGTGTCGAACTGCCACAGCTTGAGGTCTCTCTCATACCTCTTGAAGGCACTGGGGCCACTTCCATCAAAGCTGGGCGGACCATCACGATTTCGTCCTCCAGGCTGTCAGGCCGCCGCGCCCTCGGTAGTGGCGGGCGCGGAAGCACCAGCAATCGCCATGGCTCCGCTACCACTGTGCATAGCTAACAGTGAGTGAAGGGACGCTCGGGCAGCATCGGTTTTCACCGATCAGGCGCAACGGTCGGCCCCGTGGTCAGATATGCAGTGAACAGTTGCCCGCATTCACACCGGCTCAACTATTGGGTACGGGGTGCCGGTGATGCAGACCTATATATATATATAACTTATATAACCTACAGGCTCAATCATGGCTTGAGCTATCTAGAGTTCGCCAACCTACGGCTTTGGAACTATTACCCAGCTCAACTATTGGGTAGGGGGTGCCCTAGCAGACCTATATAACTGTAGGTTGACAGCCTACAAGTTCAATCATGGCTTGAGCTAACGTAGAGTTTGCCAACCAACATTTTTGGAAGCGTTGCCCAGCTCAACTATTGGATAGGGGTGCCAATGATGCAGACCCTATAAACCAATCAAATCGTGGCTTGAGCTAACCTAAAGTTTGCCAACCTATGGCTTTCAAACTCCTACCCAGCTCAACTATTGGGTAGGGGGGCTAGTGATGCAAATGCTGGCTTTGGAAGTGTCACAAAAAAGAACAGCTTAATTGCTGTGCTTCGTCCACAAAATACATACGCTTTTGGGATGTGAAAGATTTCGAGGCAAAGGAAGGGATGTGCTCAAAAGAGATGTGCCTTGGCTTCGTTCTCATCTTCAGTTGCCACCACAACCTGAAGAGTCCACAAAACATTGAAAACGGAGCCTCTCTCCCCAAGGAGCCTTCCCAAGGGCTCAAATGGAGAACAGGCCGTTTCCAAGGCCTCCAAAGTGACCTTTGATGGTAGAGATTTCACCACCTTTTCGGCAACTGGGAAGAACCTGCAAGTCAGAAACAAATGGGAACTCATAGCACACCATGGGATCACGGAAATCACAAAAAATAATATTGATTCGGAAGGTTTATTGTACTCTTGCTTTGTTCTTAAGTTACATCAAAAGTAGCAGCACTCATCTGAATCTGCCAACAGCGCGCACCTCCCGGCATCTGTGGTCCAGTACTGCAGTAGACCCACAACATCGTCCACCTGACATCGGTTTTTTTGCCCACTCACCCCGCCCTACTTAATCTTAATTAAGCCAGGGAGAAGTAGCTAATAGCTAACAAGCAGCTACTAACTACTGGACGCAGGATAGCTCACGCTAATGATTTGGTTTCTAGCTTTTTAGGAAATCTTAACATTCAGCTAGGCCAGTTCCAAGATGATCTCATCCCGTCTGTTGTCTCAGTCTTCTGATGAGGTCTGAGAGGTCTGAGTTGCACCAGTTCTCCAATTCATGGCACCTCTGCAGCAAGTGCTTGACCAGCCGAACGCAAGGCTGCCAGCGCTGCATCCTCTCCAATGGCGAACAGCCGGCCGCGCTCGGACGCCTTCCGCTTCTTTCCGAAAGACCTGGGCAACTTAACACGTAGGGTGCTCAAACCAAAGCCTTCTCTCGCAGCTTTATTTCTATGTTACATGCACCTCAACCAACGATGCTGAAGTTTCGCACTTTGTGCTCATTCAGGGCTATGGGCGCAAGGAACTGCAGCAGAAAGTGACTGCGAATACGCCAAATGTAGACAACCTTGTAAACAGCACCAATTTTCCAAGGCAGCGCCCGCGGCGCTCCATTTCGAAGACGACCCAGGTAGACAGGTCCCCGAACGGCACAGGCAGTCCCTGAGGCACTCCTGCAACATGTTCGGGCGCAAGACCTGAAAGCAAAAAATTGTGTAAAAAAATGAGTTTGAAGTTAGAGGCCATCGCTACCAGGGAGGCCCTCGCTATTAGGTCGGAGGCCATCGCTAGTAGGTTGGAGGCAATTCCTAGTAGGTTGACAAAAGACTGTGGAGGTTCTTGCAGATGTCAGTTGCGATTTCTGAGAGAAAAATGGAGAATAGATGAAAGGCCCAGTCAGTTCAAGGATGGTGCTCGGAGTTTGTCAATCAAAGTAGTTTTTATGCAATTTACGTATCTTTTTGGACAAGTTGAAAGCTTCCAAGTTTGTCAAATTCAGATCTTTGTAGTCTTGCAAAGTGCTTCATTTTCCGCCTGGCCATGCCAGACCCATAGGCCGCAGCACGCACTCCTTCCAAGGTCATACGGTGCAAGGTCGTGTTCCAAGGATCCATCAAACTGCCAAAAAGACCAGAAAAACTACTGGGCAGGCCCCATCGCAAGTAGGTTGGGACATTGCAAGTAGGTTGGGGGCCATCGCTAATTCGCCAGATAGCTTCAAATAACAATGAGCTGCCTGCGCGCGCTTTCGAGACAGGTTGCCGGTGTTGGCGCTGGTGCTGGTGCTGGCGCTGTGAGCTGGCTGTGCACGTGGTGGAGACAGGGCGCCGGTGCTGGCTGCCGGGTGCCGGTGCTGGTGCTGTGAGCTGGCTGTGCACGTGGTGGAGACAGGGTGGCGGTGCTGGGGCGCGTGGTGGAGACAGGTGCCGGCGGTGCCGGTGCCGGTGCTGGGCGCTGGCTGCGCGCACTTGGCGCGTTGCAGAGCCAGGGCGCCGGTGCCGGTGTCAGGGTGCCACTACTTCCAGGGAAGCTCAGGGAATCAGCAATCAGAACATCATGGTGTATCCAGATCCAGTGTTTTCTCAAGGTTCTTCTGTTCTTATGCATGACCTTTGGGTCCTTACAAGTTGTGTAGCTTGCACATGTGAGGAGGTCTATTTTCGGATCTTTTTTGTTCCCAGCAACAGCTATGGGGTTCTTACTTCAAATGACAATGAGCTGGCTGCGCGCGCTTTTGACACGGGGCGCCGGTGCCGGGTGCTGGTGCTGGCTGTGGCGCTGGGTGCTGTGAGCTGGCTGTGCGCGTGGTGGAGACAGGGCGCGGTGCTGGGTGGGTGCTGGCTGTGCGCGTGGTGGAGACAGGGTGCCGGTGCCGGGCGCTGGCGCGGGCTGTGGTGCTGGCGCTGGGTGCTGTGAGCTGGCTGTGCGCGTGGTGGAGACACGGTGCAAGGGCCGTACTGCTTGCGCGCATACTTTTGTACGTATATATAATGTTCTATGCGCAACGTCAGGCTCTCAACCGACCGTTGGTTCAGCATGCTTCAGCAAGCTACACACACAATAGTCGTGCTGGATACTGCTTGGCCTTGGGCGAGTGAAGCCTACGGGCTTTGCCGTGTGCGCGCATACTTTTGCGCGCATAAACTTATACGCGCAAGATCATACGGCCCCATCGTTCTACAGATCGTTGCTTCAAGCATGCTACAAAATCAATAGTGGCGCTGGATACTGCTTGGCCTTGGGCCATGACACTTGCTGGCTTTGCTGCTTGCGCGCATAACTTTTGCGCGCGTAAGCTTATACGCGCAAGATCATATGCTGTTATTCCCCAAATAGGGATAGCTATGGGGTTCTTACTGCAAAAAATGAGCTGGCTGCGCGCGCTTTTGAAAGGGTGTCAGTGCTGGTGCTGGTGTTGTGGTCCTGGCCGCTCATTCTGTGAGCTGGCTGAGAGCGCGCGTTTGAGACGGGCGGCGGCGCTGGTCGGGTACTGGTGCTGCTGCCGGTGTTGTCAGCTGGCAAAGCGCACAGGTGCTGGTGTCAGCTGATTGCACGCTCTGTGGATGCGTCGTAAGCTGGCTGTGCAGGCTGCGTACATTCTTGTTCCAGCCAGTCGCACGTCAACAGGTCGTGGGATTCTGCCTAGCTATCTGGGTCTATGCTGGTGTAATTTTTTAGGTTGGAGGCCATCGCCAGTATGTTGGATCTAGTTGGAAATCTTTTCATTGCAGCGTTGCCTTACATTTCTCCCAGTAGATCAGGAGGTTACCGTGTTCCTTTCTGCCTTTCTGCGAATCTTCCCTGAGATGGTGTCGAGGACTCCATGCGAAGGACTCAGAGGAGAACCAGTGAGGGGAGAGGTGAAAATGTTCAATGTAAAGAGATTAGGAGAATCATCAAAACCGTAGTGCAAAGGCTATGCAAACACTCGCCTTCTGTACGTATATACGTTTTTAAAATACTGTAGGGTTTGCAGGGTTACTATCCAGTGCCTCGCAAGCTGAAAGAAGAACTCTTAAAGGGTAGAGTATACTTAGTGCGTATTTGGGAGCAGCACATCATAGAGGTTAGAGTGGAGCGCACAAGCAAAACAAGCAAACACAAGATTTACTGACAAACTACACCAGCATAAACCCAACATAGCTAGGCAGAATCCAACGACCGAAAAGAGTCAAGTTCTGTAGCTGTTGACGTGCGGCTGGATGGAACTAGCAGCAAGGACGCTACTAGTAGCTCCTGGCCTTACTACTAGGAACAAGAAGATACTAGTAGCTCCTGGCATCACTACTAGTAGCAAGAATGCTACTAGGAACAAAGGGCATCGCTACTAGGAGCAAGGACGCAGCCAGCACCAGGCATGGAGGAAAACTGCCAGCTCGGACTCTTCCATGGTGTAGTGTGTGTGTGTGTGTGTGTCCGCAGCGGGCAGGGTGGAAGATGAGGAATCTACAAGATTCAAAACCAGCCTCCAGCTATATATCTGACCCCTATGCTCGAGCACTTTTCTTAAACTCGAGCTGATTTTCTGGATTCGAGCACTTTTATAATTGATACACTTTTTTCTGTATCACTTGGAGGCTCAGGCTTACAAATAACCTGGCACTGGCGGGGAGATGAGCGCAACAGCAGGAAGCACACTTCTATCCACTGCCAGCTCAAAGCACGCCACCAGCACCCAGCACTGGCACCAGCACCAATACCCTGTCTCGAAAGCGATTGAAGTAAGAACCCGATAGCTATCGCTATCTGGGGAACAATGTATTGCACATCTCACATCTCAATGCGAAGAACGAGCTTCATTGCGCCGGCATGATGCATAGACTAATGTATGGACTAGCATACCAGTGCAAACCACAGTTGACGCGCTGCAGTGCAACCCTTGGCGAAGCACGCACTCCACTACTAAGGATGCAACTCAAACACTGCCATGCGACACCAACACTAAATGAAAACTAGCTGTTGAGAACAAACACTGATACCATTGTCATGCACTTGCTTGCTCAATACTGATACCACTGCAACACACAGTGGAGTCACCAGTGTCGCACCTTTAGTGGGGACATTGTTTTGCAACAACTATGATGATAGTGGACACCCGATCGTGTTGGAAAGCCATTGAACAATGCAAATGCTCGCAGTGCATACATTGCCTACTAAACTACCACTAAACTACCACACCATCACATCCTCTGCTGTTTGGCTGGAAGGTCTTGCTGAACACTTTGGATTGCAAATCCTGGAGTTCACACACTGTGTGGAAGCACTGCCATAGCACAGACTGAATTGAGTATGCTATAGTATGCTTTCAGCATTGGGTAGAGTCAATAAAAAAACTTCATTATGGGCGCACTACACTACATGCTGGGAAAGTATACTAAAGACATCTAAAGACACTAGGGTTCAAATACTTATAAACTATTCACAACTGGAGGTTGTAGAAGTGGCCAAGGATGGCTTGCAACTGTCGCACTACAGTTCCAAAGCAACTACAGTGCACATATTTTAGGGGAGTGGAGCATGGCAATTGCATTAAAAACTTGAGTGAGTTTAGTGAATTGTGTCTAAGCGGCTAATACATGTTAATTGAAAAGTGTGCCACTCTCAGAAAGAAATCGTATGAAAGTCACCGACATACTCTCGCATGGCCTTCCTATGCCTTCCTCATATGTGCTAAATATCAGCCAACAGCATTTGAAAGCTGGTTTGGAAAGCCATGCAAGATGCGCAAATGGTCTTTGTCCTGCTCCAAGTCATCCAAGGCCTTGGTTACCTGTGCCTGACTGCTGGCCAGAGTCAAGCGTGACACCTCGCAAGGCTCGCCAGGCTCGGAGGTATAGGAATTGGACTTCCTTTTGTTTCGACGTCTTTCAAACAGACCTTCTGTTCCTAGCGACCTTTTTTCGTTCCTCTCGAAAGAAAGAAACCGCACTAATAATTGAACGAGGTTCGTAATAGTCATTGTGCACGGAAATAATCGACCTCACACGCTCACGGGCGGCGGTGTCTAATTCCAGCAGGTGCTGCGCTCGTCCAGCCAAGATGCATGTTCAGAGGCTCGCACTCCACAGCCTGCACATGCGGCCATCGCTATTAGGTTGGAGGCCATCGCTAGTAGGTTGGAGGTCATCCCTTCTAGGTTGGAGGCCACCGCTAGCAGGTTGGACGCCATCGCTACCAGGTTGGAGGCCAGGAGGCCAACCCTTCTAGGTTGGAGGCCATCGCTAGCAGGTTGGAGGCCATCGCTAGTAGTTGGAGGCCATCCCTTCTAGGTTGGAGGCCATCGCTAGCAGCTTGGAGGCCATCGCTAGTAGGTTGGAGGCCAGGTTGGAGGCCATCCCTAGTAGGTTGGAGGCCATCCCTTCTAGGTTGGAGGCCATCGCTAACAGGTTGGAGGCAATCGCTAGTAGGTTGGACGCTATCGCTATTAGGGTGGAGGCCATCGCTTCTAGCTTGGAGGCCATCGCTTCCAGGTTGGAGGCCATCGCTAGTAGGTTGGAGGCCATCGCTACAAGGTTGGAGGCCATCCCTTCTAGGTTGGAGGCCATCGCTATTCGGTTGGAGTCCATCGCTAGCAGGTTGGAGGCCATCGCAAGCAGGTTGGAGGCCATCGCTAGCAGGTACGTTGGAGGCCATCCCTAGCAGGTTGGAGGCCATCGCTATTAGGTTGGAGGCCATCGCTTCTAGGTTGGAGGCCATCGTTAGATATCGCTTGTAGGTTGGAGGCCATTCCCTCTTAGGTTTGAGTAGGTTGGAGGCCATGACTAGATATCCCTAGTTGGTTGGAGGCCATTCCCTTCTAGGTTGGAGGCCATCGCTTCTAGGTTGGAGGCCGTTGGAGGCCTTTGCTTCTAGGTTGGAGGCCATGGCTGGCGGCTAGATATCGCTGGTTGGTTGGAGGCCATTCCCTTCTAGGCTGGGGGGCATCGCTAGTAGGTTGGAGGCCATCGCTTCTAGGTTGGAGGCCATGGCTATAGATATCGCTAGTAGGTTGGAGGCCATCGCTTCTAGGTTGGAGGCCATCGCTAGATATCGGTAGTTGGTTGGAGGCCATTACCTTCTAGGTTGGAGGCCATCGCTAGTAGGTTGGATGCCATCGCTTCTAGGTTGCGCACCATGGCTAGATATCCCTAGTTGGTTGGAGGCCATTCCCTTCTAGGTTGGAGGCCATCGCTAGTAGGTTGGAGGCCATCGCTTCTAGGTTGCGCACCATGGCCAGATATCGCTAGTTGGTTGGAGGCCATTCCCTTCTAAGTTGGATGCCATCGCCAGTGGGTTGGAGGCCATCGCTTCTAGGTTGGAGGCCATGGCTATCGCTAGTTGGTTGGAGGCCATTCCCTTCTAGGTTGGAGGCCATCACTGGAGGCCATGGCTAGATATCGCTAGTAGGTTGGAGGCCATTCCCTTCTAGGTTGGAGGCCATCGCCAGTAAGTTGGAGGCCATTGCTTCTAGGTTGGAGGCCATCGCTAGATATTGCTAGTTGGTTGGAGGCCATTCCCTTCCAGGTTGGAGTCCATCGCTTCTAGGTTGGAGGCCATGGCTAGAAATCGCTAGTAGGTTGGAGTCCATTCCCTTCTAGGTTGGAGGCCCTCGCTAGTAGGTTGGAGGCCATCTCTTCTAGGTTGGAGGCCATCGCTAGCACTCGCCCCACAGCCTAAGCGGAAACTCAATGGGCCTGTGTAGGCCCAAAACTGCCACACGCGAATCGCTTCTGAAGGCATGTTTGAATAGCTAGACAAATATGTGTCTTCAGCATAGCATGTGTGCACCCATACTCCAAATCGCGCGCTGCCATAGACATCTGCAACACCCTGCAGCGGCACCAGCACCCAAGCTCCAAAGCACACACGGCCACTGACATTTGGCCGGCACCTTGCAGCAGCACCCTGCAGCAGAACCAGCACACAGGCTCCAAGGTGCGCGCGTTTTCGTGGCGAGATGTGCTTCCTTGAAGGCGTCATTGTTGAGATGATAGGTACAAATCCGAACTTCAGGAAGGTGCATGTGTTTGCAGTCATCTGGCAGCGCCACCATCCAGGCTCCAAAGCGCACAGCCTGGCGCGTCTCCCTGCAGCGGCACCAGCACCTAGGCTCCAAGTGCACGCTGGCCATACACATCTCGCACCAGCATCTTGCATCTTGCAGCGGCACCAGCACCAGGCTCCAAACTTGTGCAGGCACCTCTTCCTATACTTGAAGTAAGAACCCCAATATATAGCTCTCGATATCTGTGAAAGAGGAAGGGAATGAACAATCCATCAAGCCTGTCGCACAGCCTTCAACCAGCTGCCCACAAGCTTTTGTGCGCCTGAAACTGTCAGCTTAGCCTTGGGACTCAAAAACTCCGACTCTCGCCTTCCAAACGGACATCCAGCACGGCACAACGTGGGCCTCAAACAGAAGCAGTGGAATAGACCACCTTGGACGACGCTTTACCATCATTACCCAGGCCAAGCCAGCCCTGGCAGCACTGCCAGCCTTCAGACTTGCACGCCATTGCCCTCTTGAGATGGGTGTCTCGAGATGGGTAAAGGCTAGGCTGCGTAAGCAAAGTGGTAGGCAAAGTCGCAATCAAAACTCTGAGTTTCCCAAACTCATGTTCAAAAAAAAATAAAGAAAACTTAACTGAGCTTGTTGGCATTCTTTTTGATTCTGTCACTGAGACGGCCCATTGCGGTGCCATCAGAATTTTGACGCCCGAAGTCTGAAACGGGAACAGAAGACGAGTCATTCGAGGCATTCGGAGGCATTTCTGCCACTTGCTTTTCTATATTTTTCGAGCTCTATGAGCCAATATGAGCATCTTATGAGCCACCCTCAAGCAAGACTTTCCTGACTTTCCATTTTCTGGCCCAGTCCAACTTATATGGAGATTGAATACCCTCTACTCTACAGCCTCTATAGCACCTAAGTTCCTAGCAAAGCATTTTTTGCTTGCTTGCAGGTGAGTTCAGGAACAAATCCTTTCTGCCCGCATGAGCCTTTAAAAAAGGAGTTGCGGGAATTCTTCGCCCCTTCTACTCTTTGACTGCTTTGGACCATAGTCAAGGCAGTCATTGCAAAAAGGCCGTTCGGATTGCTTCGTGCCCATCATCAAAAAAGTGCTGAAAGCGTGCGAAAATGAAAGGATTCAAAGGACCTGTTTCCTGAAAAAACAAATCCCACTGCTTATTCTGCAATCCCTACGGCGACGGCCCGTACGAGCCATTGGGAAGGGTACCTATCACAGCTCCAAGACACGGCGCCTCAAAGAAATGAGCTTCCCACAACCTCCAAAAGCATCTCCCCTGGTAGATGCAGCTCTTGTGAAAAAACACTATAAGTTATAAGGTTGGAGGCCATCACTAGTAGTTTGGAGGCCGACGCTTCTGGGTTGGAGGCCATCGCTAGTAGGTTGGAGGCCTACGCTTCTAGTGAGGCCATCGCTATTGCATTGAAGGCCATCCCTTCTAGGGTGGAGGCCATCGCTCGTTTTTCTCTCCCCTGAATTGGTGCCCAGGTTACGAGCCATTCAGCTTGTTCAGGAACCGCTCTTTGATGCCCACAAGGTTGTTTTGGTTGACTTGCAACATACGAGTGGCAATCTATACAAACAGGTTTGGCCCAAACCGAAGCCGTTCACTGATTTCGCCGTCAGACACACTGGAAGCATGGGGCCACCGAGTTGAGCAAACGGTGGATGTTGCCCTGCGTAAGATGCCTACTAGTTTGGCTCTGCCACGTTCGCTCCCCAAAGCTTTTCGAGGAAGATGTTTACCCAAGAAGCCAAAACAGATTTTGGTCACCTCGTTGGTTCCGCATGCTCGGTCGGGTGATTTTGAGCCGGTGCGTGAGATCCAATGTGTATCCACAGCCAGTATGATCAAACAGCAGCGTCGAATCCAGTCTTTGAGACGCAAAATCTGGCAGACGCCTTAGTCCTGGAATGGCGCGGGATTTTGAAGCTTGCTTTCAAGGGACGCTCGTTTGTGTCATGGCTATATGACTTTCCTGAGCTTTCGCCTGTCCCATGGAACTTGCCTGACCTGACCTGGCTGCATGATCTTGAACAATTATGGAAACATGAAGTGACTGCTACCATTTCTCTCGATCGTAAAATTCAGCAGGATAAGCAGGCTTTCCGTCTTAAGCTTGATAAAACTCAGGGTCATAATTAAGCAAACATTTGCCTCTGTCCGTGGTTCTACCCCAAAGCTTGAATCTGATGAGCAAACAGTGGAACAGATCGCCATCCTTGCGCCGATTACACGCCGCATCTCGTCTAAGGCTCCAGAACGGTTCGAAGCCTTTGTTGAAGATCCCACTGCCTTTCAGCTGGGCCAATCAATTCTTTTGAATAATCAGCCTAGTTATTTGCATGAGGTTTGTCCTTCCTCATTGGTTGTTTCATGCGCCAGCCCACTTGACAACCTTGAGCAGGTTGAGGTGCGACAGCAAGTGCTGACCACGAATCCTAAGCAAATCTGCCAACAGTTAACTGAGTTTTGGCAACCAATATGGCAACGAGATGACTCTCACCTGACGCATCCAGAGCTTGACGCTGCATTCGACCAGTTTCTTGGCCAGCTGCCTCGACATGATATCCAGGTCGATTCACATGTGGAAAGGAGTCATTCGAAAATTAAGATGGAATGCGGACCCCGGGCCGGATGGCATCACAGCCTTTGAGCTTCAATCTCTCCCAGACTCATTGCTTGTGTCTTTGATTCGGATTGTCCATGAATATCCTTTGGGATTCCCTTCATGGTTCATGTCGGCTGTTGTCTTTGCTGCTCCCAAGGGTTCAGGCACACCCATTCCAAGCAAAATTCGGCCGATAACAGTCTTGTCTCAGATATAGCGTGTTTGGGCACAGGTCATTTGTCGTCAAATATTGCAGGCCTTTGGAAGGGTCATGACATGTGACATTACGGGGCTTCTTCCGGGGCGTGGTGCCTTCGAGGCAGCGTATGCCACCCAATGGTTTTCCGAGGATGCACATAGACAGGGCGAGCATTGCGCGGGCGTCACACTTGACTTAGTCAAATGTTTTAATGCAATTACCCGTGAGAGGGGCATTGCTATTCTCGCGCACTTGGGCGTCCCTGCGCCTGTCCTGGTGCAATGGCCGGGCTCGCTGTCCAAAGCGCAGAGTTCAACTCAAAACTGGGCCACCAATTGTAGGCACAAGGACGAATGCGACTCTGAAATGTCTCCCTGACAATCGTGGCAACCTGCATCTGGCAGGAAAAAACTGGTCGCTGTGAGAGACCAAGCACACAAGTACCTGCACTCTGTCATCCTGGCTCTGCGTGCGTGTCCCGGCAAGATAGGCATGCTGCATAGGGACTTCAGCTGTCCAAACATGGATGGATGCAAATTGGGTGGCACATTCATTCCAAGAATAGCCATAAGCAAGTGCATCTGTTGCATTCTGCGCCCAAGCAAAAACATGTCCGCCTTCCTTACCAGGTCGATGCAGGGGCAGGTAACACTGCGTGTAGAGCATGAAGCTAAGCACAAGTTCCATCCAAGCAACACCAACCTCAACATGGGGCTGTTCAGAGTCTGCAGGTGGCCACTCAAAATTGGCCACCCAATCCAGCATGCAGTTCATGAGCGAGGCACCCCAATAGGAGTGAGCGAAGAAGTTGTTGTGGCGAGCAGCTGCCCCATCCAGCTTCCACGGGTTGTTTACTTGCCAATGAGCAACCACCCCACATGTGCCTCAGCATTTTTCCTGTATGTCTGCAAGGCCAAGGCCAATTTATACAACTCCTTGAGTTGAGTCATCTCCTGCTTACGCAGATCAGCCTGGTGGGGCCAATCATCAGTCAGCGCAGGGTAGCTGGCGCTGCACCCCGCATTGGCTGCTTGATCAGCGACACTGTTCCCCAGGGCATGATAGCATTGCAGGTCAGGAAGAAGCTTAGGGTCTACATGGCTCTTGATTTTACGAATCGTGTTGAGATGTCTATTGGGAGCTGCTGCATGCGCAACCACAATTGAGGATGTGGGTGCTTGTGAAGCACCGCTTCATCAAAGGTAGCAATTGCACTGCACTTGAAGAATCCACATAAATAACAACATGCGCAAAAAACTCTTGGGCCCTGATGAGAGCCCGGAGTTCAGCGTGATGGATATCTTGCGCTTGCGGGCAGAGCTCTTGAAGGACCACGTGAAAAGTGACTGGCGTGCAACCAGTCTCCTTGTATCGTTGCGCATGCCAACAGCGTTCTGCGTCGGAGTGGCGCGAATCAAGAACAACACTAAACCCAGCATGCCGAAGGGTAGGCAAGGTGGGATTGAGACAACACCCATCAGTGTAAACATGCTGTGGGGAGTCTGGCTGAACCCACTGACGCAAGTGCTCAAGTAAGTTCCAGTCAGGCTGGCGCTCTTGGAGAGCAAACTGAAAAGTAAAGCGAAATTCATCCTGATGTGACTCAAAGATCACCGGCAGATCCGGCAAGAGAGTATCCTCCTGCGTGCATATAAAGAATCTATGAAACTTTGCGTCTTCCTGACCACACCAAGGACATTCAGGGGAGATCTGGTCATCCCAAATGGCCTGCTGACTGCGAATTTGAAAAGTCCCTGAAGTTTCGCGAAGAAGCAACCGCCTTTCAGAGGCAGTAAACTGGGCCAAGACCTGTTTGGTGAGACGCTGGTCTACATTAGGGAAATTAAGCAGAGATTTGCGATGCGAACGCAAGGTGAGCAAGCGATCTTGCCAAGCTCTCCCTGCAAACCAGACCCATGTTTTCCAAGGACAAGTGAGGAAGTCCAACGTCACAAAGGCAGCTGCGCGAATCTGACCTGCAGAACGAAACGTCCATCCAAGGCGTACCAAGTAAGTCTTCAGGGTTGAAGCAGGCCCTTTAGAGGTATTGGGTCTTGGCGCGTATTGAGCCACAAGACTCAAGACGGAAAAAAGTGAGTTGGGTATTACGCTCACAAGATAGCAAGAATCGTCTATAGCAGCAGAAGAAGCTTGCAATATGATGTGCAGTTCTGGGTCCCGAACATACTTGGAGGCACACAAGGTGACTAAGACCGAGGACATGCTTTCAGAGGCACCCACTAGAGCTTCGGCGACATGATACCTAGTGGAACGAGTGTGTTGCTGACCAAGTGGGAAAAGTTCAGCACCATGAAATGCGACAGTATAGACACTGGTGGGGATGACCTGAGCTTTGACATCAAGATCAACAGGGGAGGACTTGAGCCTATGGAGCCGAGTTTTAGCTTCTTGCAAACGGTCTCCTAATTTCCCAAGTCTGGCAGCACCTTGATATCGCAAAGGACAACCCAAGTCGGAAGCAGCAAACATTCGCTCTGCCACAGGAACTTGCAAATTTTGGAGTGCTCTACAAACAATGGCAGCTAGATTATTGTGAGAGGCCCACCACCAGGTGTTAGACCAGTCAATCTGCAGCCCAATAAGCTTGGTCCAGCGAAGAGTGACATCAAGAATGGGCTACATACATTCTTGACTGCCCAAGCCCAATTGTCTGCATAAGCCGAAATGAGTGAAGATGCAGTGGCATGTTGGCGACATG